CAAATGCCAAGAAGATCGGCAAGATTGTGTCCCAACAAGCCTTATAAAGAACGAACATTGATTTAGTACGCATTCAAAATAATATTATCTGTAGGGCCAAAGATCATTATCTAGCAACCATTGGTTAACAATTGTCACTTAATTACTGTATCCCAACTATCAGCTTCTACCAACTCACATAGACATGTATTATCACCCTAATTCCATCTGCCAACATTATCTACTATTCTCAGATGGCTTCTTAGTTGCCGATCAACACCTAAGGTCCATCATCCCTCTCTACAATAATAATTATCACCACATTTATAAGAGAACAAGCAGGCATATACTATTGTCTCACCTCCTTGAACAAATGGCAAGTCAAAACTTCTATAATCTCTAGATAGATAGATTATTTGTAAACGTTAGCTTAAAGTTCATATAATTCCATTCACTTTCATTGCCATTGCTTATTCGATAAACATATCCTTTTCTTAGTAGCCATCTTACCTTGCAAAATACCAAATAAAATCTTTAAATTGACTAATAATTCAAGTTAATTTACTTGTACATGATTTTATAACAAACTAGTTTAATTTGATCAAATGATAACCATTTTATGCATTTACACTGCATCCATATTGTCTTGCATCATAGTGTCTGCAAGACATGGTGGCCTTCCAATGAAAAATAAAAACAAGCTCATGAGATATAAATAAATAGTGAAGAAGAGGCCGATATGCAATATGAACATTCAAATAGTGGATAGACGTTTAAATCAGACATTATACAAATCATCATCATCATCACTATACCTGTTTTCAAAATTATTCCTATCAGTAGCGTCTACAATCTTTATTTGGTCGGATCTTGTAAAGACTAATTTGCTTGAATTCCAAGCAGGAGGGAAAGTCTTCTGCAATGCCTCTGTGAGCTCACCACCTGCTCTCTCTATCTTCAACAAACATTTAGACCAATGAACTGCAGTGCCCATGTCAACGGTCAATTCACCATCAACCATTTCTCTGCATACACTCAAAATCCCGGAGAACACGTACTCGGATGCAGTCGACCGCGACAAAAGCGAAGTCATTAAGCAATGATAAACAGCATTATCTGGCTTCAATCCTCTCCTTTTCATCTCATCAAAATACATTAAAGCCTTCTCGGGAAGTGAAGCCCGAGCCCAACCCCTGATCATGGTAGTAAATGTTTTGATGTTAGGCTTAACTCCAGCAGCCTCCATTTCTTCGATCACATCTGTTGCCTTCTGCCAAAACAATTTAAGAAAGGCATCAAATGATTTTCATTATGATGCAGAAGAGATTCAAAAAGTACTTCCCTAAACTACTGTATATCCTATTAATATTTGACAATCACAACTAATATAGGAAAATTTGCCACATGATACAAACTACATGTGTACACAAAATACGTGATAAAGATCTTTGAATCAGAGGATGGATCATCTAAAAATTCCAACAAAGATACGAGGAATGTGAAAAATTTAGAAAAAAAAAATGCTAGCATGCACGTAAGAAATTAAATGAGAGGCATAAGATATTATTGTGCCTGATTGTAATGAAGACCTTGATATGGACCTACTTCCTCCTAAATTGTTTGATTACTCCTAAATGATTTCTCCCGTGATGATATGGATCTTAATTGAGTGAAAATAGAATTTGGCTACCCAATGAGAGATAAGCCTTATTGAAAGCTTTTCAAGAAGATGAAGAGGTCAGTCTCACATTGCTAAATTTTAAACCATGGTCAAAACATCAGCAGTAATGATGATTTGGCATCATCAACTATGTCGCGTGCTCTGTTGGGGTGAGATGGAACCAAAGAAGAGGAGCAACTCCATGCTTGCCTGCAGTAGAAGTTGAAGGGGAAGAATAAGCCGAGGGAGGAGGGTGAAGTACGCAGCTTTGTCGAGAGATACTCGTGCATCTGATCGAAGAGACGAGCTTCACTTGAAGTAGAAGGCTCCCTGTTGCTGCTGTGTTCGAGTGAGTTAGGGCAGATCAAAACATTTTATTTAAAGGTATGAGTAATAAATTAAAAAAGTTAATATATATTGTTAGATTAATAATTATTTATATATATGGGGGTATATTTAATTAATTAATGCAAAATTTTATTGAAGCAGAACTCTAAATATATGAATTTTAACCTGTAAAGAGGAGTTGGTGAAGTGGACAAGCTGGGGAGGAAGGAGATCGACCTGAAAATCTATAAGAAAAATGTTAAGCCTTATGTTATTATTCAAATTAACGATATAATATGCTAAAGTAAATAATGTTAATAAGTTTTATTTAGATTAGAAGGCGTGAAAGAATCTGATAAAACCTTGGGATTTGAAAGAGCAAAGGGACCTGAAGCTAAAAGATATTAGTATTTTAATAACTCTTTTATAATTAAATATAAGTGCCTTTAGAATATAATTCTTATAGTTATATGCACATTTAATTGGTTTAGGTGCTAAAAAGTGAAGCGAAGTGAGAGATATTTCAGAGTTCTCTTTAAATCAATGTGAGTAATTATTTTCTTATATGTATTAAATTTAAAGTTTATTAAATAAAGAATTTATTTAATGCTTAGACAAGTATGTTATGCATGTTGTAGCTTAAGAATTAAAGGAAACAAAAAAAAAATGAAAAATGAATGTTTAATGTCTTTAAAAGAAGGTAATTTAAATGAAATGAAAGATAAATGCTTAAGCCATGCAAAATTTCCCCCATATGGTATTGACGGGATGCATTGTACCAGTGCACGTTAAAGGAAATGGTAAAGAAAGATGTGCCTTCGAGTGCAATTTGACGATATATTTAGGTACATATTTGAGGGTGTCTTCAAACACATTTTTTAGAGTGCATTCAGACACATTTTTTTAAGATACCATCGAATATGAAAGTAATTTTGTTATGACATGTAAGAAGTTTAAAAATTGTAAATGCTTAAACTAGAATAGAAAGGAATAATTTTAAAGTTTTAATGAAATTAACTTTAATTTCTATTGATCATTCATGCATAACATAGTATAACATAAAATTTAATGCATATTAGATTATAATTACTGACTAACTTAAACATACAGTTGCAATTAATGGTTTCTTTTAAGAAAAAAAAAATTTCAGGTTGATATGTTTGATAGAAAAAACTTGATTTACAGGAAGAGAACTACCGCTATTAGATATTTTTATGATGATAACTTTTTGTTTACAGTTTCTTGCAGATATTGATATAATTTTTAGTGCTGGCTTGAGATGCTATATTTGAATGTTATTGTTTCTAGGTATTTATTTTTATTGCACTTTATGAATTATTGGTTCTTTTATGTATTAAAAGTTTTCGAAATGTGGATAGTTAAATGTTAATACCATCCGAACAAAGTTTTCGACTTAGTTAATTCTAAGCATCGGTCGTGACACTAGAAGAGTCGAAGGGCATGTGCGATGGCATGAATCAACGGGCACAAGCTAGGACTTCTCCGTGCATTGATCAAAGCTTTAGGTAAAATGTTAATGTGAATCGGTTTTTTTATGTATTAAAAGTTTTCGAAATGTGAATAGTTAAATGTTAATACCATCAGACTGTAGTTTTCGATGACTGTAGTTTTCGACTTAGTTAATTCTAAGCATCGGGACGGGTCGTGACACTTGAAGAATAGTCGAACGACGCGTGTGAAGGCATGAAATGAATGGGTACACGCTAGGACTTCTCCGTGCATTGATCGAAGCTTTAGGTTGCACATCGTCCGACGATGAGATCGTCGGACAAGGGGAGACTTGACGCTAGGGCTTGGAGAGGACGACAGAACTTTTGATTGAAGCTAAAAGAAGAGGCATCGAGCGGCTCTGGTGTGAAGAATCAAAGCCCCAGCACACGGGTGAGGAAGAATGAAGTTGGCCGTCCTCCATATGCAAAAGAAAAGGAGCAACTTTGAGCCAAACTAAGAAGAGAAGGGAAAGGCCTACTTGCCGATTTCCTGTGTGTTATGAGTAGTGGTGTCTCGCGCATGTGTTTAAGATTTCAACCGAGAATGTACAAGTTTTAGGGGTCTTTTGATTTCCTAAAAATGAAATGTAATGTAAAAGGTTTGCAGAGTATTATGATTACAATATATAAAAAATATTTTCAAGTTGATTGGTTCATTGTAAAATAAACGTAAAACTATATTTTTTGTTTCGTTTGAAGTATATTGAGAATAATGTATTTACTTTGGGCACGCGATAGCCAAGAACAGGCAGTAGGCGGGCCTACGGGCAACAATCTAGCAAGCGGTGCCAGAGGCAAGCTGCGATGGGCGGCGAAGGGTGGTGACCGCAGCAATGGGAGGCACGAGACAACGAATGATTGAGGATAGTGGCGGGCAATTGCGGGCAAGACGTACAGCTGCAAGCGGCGACAGACGACCACGGGTGGTGGGTGGGGGGATGGA